ATAGGAAAGGAAAATGTCTTTTATGATATTCTAGAACGAAAAAACGCCTTTCTAAGCTATAAAAAGAAGAAGTTCAAAAACTCGAAAAATTGACATTTTTCCAAAGGGGTTAACCCATGGTTTTGGTCAAAAAATGGCCATTTTTCCAACTTTTTTTTTTTAGGCAAAATAGGTCAGGAAAATGTCTTTTATGATATTCTAGAACGAAAAAACGCCTTTCTAAGCTATAAAAACAAGAAGTATAAAGGTCGAAAAATTCACATTTTTCAAAAGGAGTTAACCCATGGTTTTGGTCCAAAAATGGCCATTTTTCCAACTTTTTTTTTTTAGGCAATATAGGTCAAGAAAATGTCTTTTATGAGATTCTAGAAAGAAAAAACGCCTTTCTAAGCTATAAAAACAAGAAGTTCAAAAAGTCGAAATATTGACATTTTTCCAAAGGGGTTAACCCATGCTTTGGGTCCAAAAATGGCCATTTTTCCAACTATTTTTTTTAGCCAAAATAAGTAAGGAAAATGTCTTTTATGATATTCTACTACGAAAAAACGCCTTTCTAAGCTATAAAAACAAGAAGTTCAAAAAAATCGAAAAATTGACATTTTTCCAAAGAGGTTAACCCATGGTTTTAGTCCAAAAATGGCCGTTTTTCCGCCTTTTTTTTTTAGGCAATTTAGAGCAGGAGAATGTCTTTTACGATATTCTAGAACAAAAAAAACGCCTTTCTACTCTATAAAAACAAGAAGTTTAGAAGGTGGAAAAGGTAATATTTTTCCGAAGGGGTTAACCCATGGTTTTGGTCTAAAAATTGCTTTTTTTCCAACCTTTTTTTTTTAGGCAATATAGGTCAGGAAAATGTCTTTTATGATATTCTAGAACGAAAAAACGCCTGTCTAAGCTATAAAAACAAAAAGTTCAAAAAGTCCAAAAATTGAAATTTTTCCAAAGGGGTTAACCCATGGTTTTGGTCCAAAAATGGCCATTTTTCCAACTTTTTCTTTTAGCCAAAATAATTCAGGAAAATGTCTTTTTTGATATTCTAGAACGAAAAAACGCCTTACTAAGCTATAAAAACAAGAAGTTCAAAAAGTTGAAAAATTGACATTTTTCCAAAGGGGTTAACCCATGGTTTTGGTTCGAAAATGGCCATTTTTCCACCTTTTTTTTTTTAGGCAATATAGGTCAGGAAAATGTCTTTTATGATATTCTAGAACGAAAAAACGCCTTTCTAAGCTATAAAATCAAGAAGTTCAAAAAGTCGAAAAATTGACATTTTTCGAAAGGGGTTAACCCATTGTTTTGGTCCAAAAATGGCCGTTTTTCCGCCTTTTTTTTTAAGGCAATTTAGAGCAGGAGAATGTCTTTTACGATATTCTAGAACAAAAAAAACGCCTTTCTACTCTATAAAAACAAGAAGTTTAGAAGGTGGCAAAAGTAATATTTTTCCGATGGGGTTAACCCATGGTTTTGGTCTAAAAATTGCTTTTTTTCCAACCTTTTTTTTTAAGGCAATATAGGTCAGGAAAATGTCTTTTATCATATTCTAGAACGAAAAAACGCGTGTCCAAGCCATAAAAACAAAAAGTTCAAAAAGTCCAAAAATTGACATTTTTCCAAAGGGGTTAACCCATGGTTTTTGTCCAAAAATTGTCATTTTTCCAAGTTTTTTTTTTTAGGCAATATAGGTAAGGAAAATGTCTTTTATGATATTCTAGAACGAAAAAACGCCTTTCTAAGCTATAAAAACAAGAAGTTCAAAAAGTCGAAAAATTGACATTTTTCCAAAGGATATTCTATAACGGAAAAACGCCTTTCTAAGCTATAAAAACAAGAAGTTCAGAAAGTCGAAAAATTGACATTTTTCCAAAGGAGTTAACCAATCGATTTGGTCGAAAATAGCCATTTTTCCAACTTCTTTTTTAGGTAATATACGCCAGGAAGAAGTCTTTTACCAAATTTTAGAACGAAAAATCGCCTTTCTAGGCTATAAAAACAAGAACTTCACAAGCCCAAAAATTAACATTTTTCCAAAGGGGTTACCCATGGTTTTGGTCCAAAAATGGCCGTTTTTGCGCCTTTTTTTTTTAGGCAATTTAGAGCAGGAGAATGTCTTTTACGATATTCTAGAACAAAAAAAAGACCTTTCTACTCTATAAAAACAAGCAGTTTAGAAGGTGGAAAAAGTAACATTTTTCCAAAGGGGTTAACCCATGGTTTTGGTCCAAAAATGGCCATTTTTCCAATTTTAGTTTTTTAGGCAATATAGGTAAGGAAAATGTCTTTTATGATATTCTAGAACGAAAAAACGCCTTTCTAAGCTATAAAAAGAAGAAGTTCAAAAAGTCGAAAAATTGACATTTTTCCAAAGGGGTTAACCCATGGTTTTGGTCCAAAACTGGCCATTTTTCCAATTTTTTTTTTACCCAAAATAAGTGAGAAAAATGTCTTTTATGATATTCTAGAACGAAAAAACGCCTTTCTAAGCTATAAAAAAAAGAAGATCAAAAACTCGAAAAATTGACATTTTTCCAAAGGGGTTAACCCATGGTTTTGGTCCAAAAATGGCCATTTTTCCAACTTTTTTTTTTTAGGCAAAATAGGTCAGGAAAATGTCTTTTATGATATTCTAGAACGAAAAAACGCCTTTCTAAGCTATAAAAACAAGAAGTTCAAAAAGTCGAAAAATTAACATTTTTCCAAAGGGGTTAACCAATGGTTTTGGTCCAAAAATGGCCATTTTTCCAACTTTTTTTTTTTAGCCAAAATAAGTCAGGAAAATGTCTTTTTCGATATTCTAGAGCGAAAAAACGCCTTACTAAGCTATAAAAACAAGAAGTTC